CTCTTCTACTTTAAGCCCAAACCTGAGTGCCAAGGCATAATCCAGGCTAATACTGCTCAGCTGGACTGGGGTGGGGCGCGGGGAGGGGAGGGGCTGGCACCTTCCAAAAACTAGGGCTACTCTTACAGACTCACTGGATCCCTTTGGTCACATGTCCCCACCTATGCCAGTCACATTAAGACTGGCCATGACCTGGCTACATAGAGCCCCTTTAGGAAGGGTGTGGGGTTAGTTGCTCCAGGACAGGAGGTGGGGATGGGGAGAGTAGGAGCAATGCCTCCCCCAGGGAAATAGGGATGCATAAGTTATCAGTTATGGGACAGGCACAAACAAGAGCAGTTCACTGCACCATCATCAAAGCATGGGTCCAGCATGGAGCGCCTTGCCTATTCTTCAGAAGGGAGGAGAGTTATTTCAAGTACTAGGAAATGCTCCTCAATCTCTGTTCCCACCACCAGTCCAAGGCCAAATGCATTTTCCAAAACTGCTTTGTAAAAGGCATCTCATTGATTCTCCCATTTTATGTGCTCCCCTCAAAAGCTGAACAGGTATTTCCTGGCTCAAGAACTTTTTATTTATAAAAATAATTATTTATTTATGCATAGAACAACTAGGATGTAGGCCAGAGGTGCAGGGAGTGAGATTCACCAGAGACAGAGTAGGGAACAGAAAAGACAGATTTATTGAAGTACACTGCTAAGGGGAACAGTGGACAAGACAGGAGAGGGCTGCTTCACTATATGTGGGTCATCTCCCTGGCCAGGAATGGAACTCAGGCCATAGCAGTGATAGCTCCGAGACTTAACCCCTCGACCACCAGGGAAGCCCCCTCAAGAACTTCCTCTGGATTCCTCTGCCTACTTATATGGCCCTCCCACCTTAAATAGACACCATCCTTGATGGATTCCTTTACCATATGCCAATCTCTTTAAATGGGCTTCCACCACTAGCTCCTCACAAATGCCATGTGAGGCTAGTTCTCTTCTTGTACTCATTTTACAGATAAGGAAATGAAAGCAATTTGTGCTTTCTCAAAGCCAAAGTCTGAAAGTGCAGAGAATTCAGATTTGTACAATGTTCCTACCACTAATGCTGGCATCACTGTTCCATTTGCTACTATTTCAAAGTGCTGTGTTGTAGAGAAAATGGAGTTTACTCAGGCTCTTTTTCAACTCCCACCACCAGCCTCTTAGGGCTACCCTGTGGTCTTGCTTTCCACCCAGGTTTCATTGCCCACCCGTGGTATCATGTTGGTGCAAAAAGCACAAGCACAGGGCACACAGACACACCCAGGGCAGAAAAGCCTGAGCATGGGACACACTCGCCTATGATTACAAACCCCAGGGCAAGAACTCAGAGGGCACGAGAGAGCACAAGGTGTGAGCCCTATAAGGAGGATCATTATGGGATTGCAAGGGAAAGGGGAGGGGGAGGGGAAAGAAAAGGGAGAGAAACCACAAAGGGGCATGGTGATCACAGATCACCGGGGCTGAAGAGGTTACTGCCAGCCTCCCTGCTTGCTGGTCTGCCTGTACCTGATCCCCTGCTCCCACATTAAAGGCCTGTCAAATCTACACAGGGCTCCCATTTGCTCGAATCCACGAAGAACCTGCCCACCTGTGCATTGTTTGCTGCCCGGCTGGTCCACCACTAGTGATAGGGGGAGGAGACAGACAAGGGAAGGAGGATCTAGGGAGCACTTCAGCTCCATACTGGAGGGCAGGCAGCTTTACCATCTCCTCTGCCCCATGACTTCATGAGATAGGGGAAAAGAATTTCCCAAAGAAAATTAGAGTAACAAAGTGCACGGTGGGTGGCCCCAGATCAGCAACTGATGTTTCCTATGTCTGCTGTTACCGATTAACACAAATTGGGTGGTTTAAGAAAGACAATTATTCTTAGTTTTGTGGTTAGAAGTCTGACATGAGTTGCACTTGGCTAAAGTCCAGTTGTAAAGGCTTGGTTCTTCCAGGAAGCGCTGAGGAAAGAATTCATGTCCCTACTTTTTTATATTTTACTGGCTGCCTGTGTTTCATGGTTTGTGGCCCCATCCTCCATTTTCAAAGGGCATCACTTCATTCTTCTAATGCACCCTCCTATGCCCCTCTTCACAGGAACATAGTAATAACATTGGGTCCACCTGCGTAAGACTAGATCATTTTCCTTTCAAGAGCCTTAACCTAATCACCTCTTGAAAGTCTCTTACCATGTAATGAAACATATTCATACATTCTGGGGATTAAATGAAAAAATGTTTGGGGTCCATGGTTTAGTCTACTATGGTAGGTATAATCAGACGGAGTTACTGCAAAGTACTCTGGAAACAGAAGGGTGACCTCTGCCCCAAGAAACTACAGCCTCCAGATTAAGTATTCAAATGAGTTTAAAACCTATCCTATTTGGCAGTCTCAGCCTTATTCTTTAAATACACAAACCACCTATATACCAATCAAGTGCCCCTGGCACCAGGCAAGCCAAGTCTCAAAATGTTTGTATACACTTTTACCATTAAAATTGCCAACCACCCACGGGTGACTTGGTGATGGGAAGCCCACAGGGATTATAACTGACATGGAAAAAAGCACAAAATGATGTAAAAATAAACTATTATATTATTTTTAAAAAACTGTCAACCACCACAACCACCACCACTGTTGGGGCAACAGCTATGTAACCAAATCCTGCTGGCTGTCTCACCAGTGGCCCGTGAATCGAGGTGCTAGGTTTACATGTGGCAAGCAAGTTCCAAATCTCAACAAAATAATCAGAGGTTAAGAAACAAGACTCTGAGCCGTCCCTGGTGGTGCAAGGGATTAATTCAGCACTACGAAGCTATTAGCAACCACTGCAGCATGTGTTTGACCCCCGTCTGGGAGGTGACCCACGTGGTGCTGCAGATTTCATCTTACCTGCTGTTCCCCTCAGCACTGTATTTCAGTCAATCCACCTGTTCTGCTCCCCACTCTCTGATGAATCCTCTCACCACCAACACCCTCCCCTCCCACCCCGTGCACTTCTGGCCTACACTCCAGCTCTTATATGCATAAATAATATTTTTAAAAAGTTACTAGAACTGCGTGGTTTCCTGTAGGCTAATTTGTAAACCTGAAACAAATCCCTTTTTAATGAAGTAACTTAAATGAGCTTTTCCTTGCCAACAAAGTTGTCTCAACATATCTTTGAACTCTACCCACTTATAAAATTTCACTACTCTGGCATCAGTCTCTGTCAGTGTAAGTCATCCCTTTTCCCCCCTGTCCCCCAGCCCCCGGGTTGACTGAATTTGGATTGAGGAGATGAGGAACATTAAGAGTCAGAAAGACCTGGGCTGGGTCCTAGCTCTGCCATTTACTGGATGGGTAATACTAAACAAGAGAATTCACTCCAAGTCTAGATTCCTCACCAATGGCATAGGGTGGCCAGAAAACCTAGCTATGGGATCACTACAAGGACTAGACAAGAACAACCAACAGTGGGACCTTTGAACAAGGCCTCCCCGGTCATTTGGGTCAATTTGACATACCTGCCTTTTCTGCATTTCCAAAATTCGAACAGTTCTGAAAACTAAGATTCATCAGTAACTCACGTAGCTGAAAACACTGACCTACACTGATAAGAGGATGGTTTAAGCCTTCTCTGGACCTTTTACTGTGAGCACATGCTGCTACAGAAGTATTAAATATTTGGGACAGGTCTCCACTGGATATAGAAATATCAATGTGTCCAATTATAGGACTCTGCTGGGTATTGTTTATTACAGTTGATATCCCATGTCTCTTTCGTATTAGTCAAGAAAACTGTGAATCTTAACAACGTATCTGACCCGGTGGTTTCTGAGATTATGGACCTATACTTTGGGGAGGTAAGGATAAAAATTTTAAACTGGTGTATGTAGGGCTTCCCTCATGGCACAAGGATTAAGTCTCAGCACTATGAAGCTGCAGCACTAGTTTAATCCCTGGCCAGGGAGGTGACCCACATAGCACAGTAGATCTCTCCTGTTTCACCTGCTGCTACCCTTGCAGTGTATTTCAGACAGTGTTGCTTGTTCTGCTCCCCACTGTCTTCGGTGAATCCCCTCACCCTCCCACACCTCTAGCTCTAGTAAATAAATAAATCTTTTTGGAAAATGGTGTGAAAAGACACAAAAACACTGACTCAAAAAGATACCTGCACCCCCATGTTTATTACTGCTTTATTTACAATTAGAAAGACATGGAAACAGCCCAAATGCCCAAAAGTGGATGACTGGATTAAAAAGATGTGGTACATATACACAATAAAATATTACTCAGCAACCAAAAAAAATAAACACATGCCTTTTGCAGCAACATGGATGGAGCTGAAAAATATCATGCTTAGTGAAATAAGCCAGAAAGAAAAGGAAAAATACTGGATGGTTTCACTCATAGCAGGAGCATGATGGACCAGGCGAGAAAATAATAATAATGAACTAATGAACAGCTGTATACCAGAGACATTTTATGGGGGTGGAGTGGGAAATGGGATCAAAAACAGTGCAGAGGGAGGGAAATGCACTGGACTATGGTGATGGCACATGGGTGATTTGGTGATGGGAAGACCACAGGGATTACAACTGAGATGAAATAATGCACAAAATGATGTTAAAATAAACGATTATATTATCTTAAAAAATGGTGTGTAGAATATGCACCAAGGTACCTATCATCTCTTGAGGACATTAGCAGCCAACAAATGTTTACAAACCCCACCACCCTAAACCAATATCACTGTGCCCCTTTCCCTGTAACATTCCAAAGAGCATTTAGAATTTGTATGCAACTTCCCCAGGTCAGTCGGCATACAGGTCAGGCATACAGGTCAGGCATACAGGTCAGGCATACAGGTCAGGCATACAGCCTGAGCAACCTGCTGATACCAGCAAGGTGGGGCTCTACACGAAAGGCACCCAACTTCAAGTACACACACACACACACACACAAGACATGGAAATAGAGAGCTGATCATCAAGCAGAAGCCCAAAGACCAAGTTCCATTAGAGTTTTAATGATTATGGAAAAGCAATTGTTCCCAAATTGAAATACAATCTACAAAAAAACGGATTGAAAGAAAAGGACAGCAGGATTCATTTCTCATGTATTCAGCCAGTGCTCATGAGAGAGCAGCCCACACAGCCAGGCGCTTTGTGGTGTCAGCATTACCGTCCTCTTCTTCCCCTTCAAGGTGACGCTTTTGACTTGTGGAAGGCTAGCAATAAAGGAAAAGGGAGAGCTGTTCAAAGAAAACCACTGTCTTTTTTTAAGGTGATCAGTTTCCTAAGACACTTCTGGTAAATTTGGGACATTCCATGTGAAACTTCTATTATCACGAATTACAGGTTGTCCTCATTGTCATCTGAATCCCCATCACACTCACCTCTGCACCCCAGATTCCAAAAGGCTCATCATAATGACAATTCTCTCTCTTGTGGCCTACAACCACTCAATGATATATACTGAAAGTAAGCATATAACCAGTCTCCTTTTAGTAGTCCTCACCTAAATTATGAAGCTTAAAGGGACTATAATACCTCCCACTGGAAGAGATATTACACTTACAAAGGCCTTAAAGATTAAAAGTTTAGTCAATAAATCATTAAAAACTTGCCCAAAGTTAAAAAGTTTTCAACAAATGTAAAATTGTGCCTCTAACAGTCTTCCAATCTTGCCCTGCAGGAGACATCTTGAATGATAGTGCTTCTCTACTGCATTAAATATACTTTCCATTATCAACTCTAAGGGTGCTAGAGTAGGTCAAGCCAAAACAATTTACATGCATCATTAAAAATGTTAAGCAGTTACTATTCGAACTCACTGCTGTTGCTCATCAGTATTTTAAACTACACACATTTAATGAGTATTGTCTAGAATACCTGGGCTGAAACTGGGGGTAGAGCTGTCAACTTATTTTCTTCAAAAAGCAAATTCTGAAACTTTATCTTCATGTCCTCATCCTGTGAAGAAGTGAAAACATAAGCAAGCTACATGTGAGGGAAGCAAAATGCCTAGAAACAAAGGATTAGGGTGCTGCTGGCAGTAGGGAAGTGAGTAGTCCATCTTCCGACAGAATAACCTTGCCAAAGCTCCAAGCTCTACGTGTTCATCACCTCTGCATTCCCAGTCATCTAAATACCAGCAGACAGTGCTCAACAGACACTGGCTGAATCAAACCTACAGGTCAAAAACCTCCCAGGATGTCAGAGAAACACAAATCCCAGCTGTCCACTTTCAGAAGCTGCATCTCAGATTCTGAAATGCACTCAAGAATCAGAGGCTAGAGCTTCCCAAATCTTTCCAGGGATTCCTTCCTACTGATTAATAAGGCCAGTCTGTGGGACAATCATAACAACTGAACACAGCACCTTAAGATTCACCCAGTTAAAATGAGCCTATTAAATGAGGAATGTGACCACACAGAGAAAGGCTGTATGAGGATAGACAGGGTGGCCGAAGCAAGGCGAGATCTCAGGAGAAAGCAAAACGCTGACACCTTGAAACTGGACTTATAGCCTCCAATTTCTGAGAAAATAAATGTCTATCGGTAAGCTGTCCAGTCTGTAGCACTGCATCTGGCAACCCAAGCAAACAAATACCCGTGTCATCCCAGACCACTCAGTCTTCAGACCACCTTTATATGGGATAAACCCAGGAGACGTGAAAGCTCTGTGGGCAATGACCCCAGTCATCCTGGGGATACTCAGTGGCCGGCATCACCACTCCCCCAGACTGTCAGCTTCCATAAGCCAGAATTCCTCCTACACCTACAGTGCCAAACAGTGCTAGACACATGGGCTCATTAACTGCCCTGACAGAATGAAGGTGTGAAGACACAAAACCCAACAAAGTGCCCTGATGTGGCAGCTCTTCAGCGTAGCTAACGGGAGTTGACCACAGGCTATTCAGATGGCTATGAAAACAAGCCATCAATAATATGGAAAAGTTACTCATCACGCCATAAACAGGAATGTGTACCTATAAATCCCTCCTTTGAGATGTCAACAATCTATTCAAAACCTGTACATTGTAATATGCCTCAAAGACAAGGAGGAAAGAATTAATTTCAGGTAGTGACCATGAGGGAGAAGTGGATACAAGGAGTGCTCCTCAAAGCAGACTCTGTTAATGGCGAAACAGAGACTGGAACTTCTCATATTCCAAACCTGCCAGTTTAATACCAGACCAAAAAAAAATTGTTTTGTTGTTTTCTTCAGAAACACTGAATTTCCCCCAAAATAAAACCAGAATGATCACTAGATAGTTTACTGGAGTGAGTGGGTCCTGTCCTCCTGAAATATTTACTCCACCTTTTGTGGCAGGGGTGAATTTCACCTTTTCCTTGGTTATTAATAACAGTTTTCTTTTGAGACAAAAAGTACAAGAAAAATAGGCTATGCCTATTCATAAATTTCTAGCAAATGCAAACCCTGTTGCCAGGTCTTCCATTTTTCTCAAGGCTAACACAACTCCTCTATCCAGATTTGTTCCCCAAGAGTTTCCCTATTAGGGCACATGAAAAGACCCAAGAGGCATGGTTTTCTTTTTTTCATCAAAATTAAATCCCACATGCAAAGCGCACCCTTTGTTTCCAAATTCCTTTTCTCAAGGATCCTGCTGTTTCAAATCTGTGAGGTCTATTAAGCACTAAATCATCTGACAGATTTCCTGGGGGGGACTGCAGTTTCCAGGGCAACAATTCAAACACACATATCTATTTTTTTTCTTCGTTTAAAGATTTGTTGTTACAAACTCAGGCTGGCCTGAGCAAAACTATTAGGGGTAAAAGGCTGGATGAGAGTAGGGACATTCTTCCCAGAGTCCCAGAGCACAGTGCAGAGACTGATGGCTGAGGAGTTCTTAGACCAGTAACAGTCTCCAGTTCAACTTCCCTCCGGGACCGGAAAGACCAAGTGAAGCTCAGCAGAGGCAGAGGTGTGCTCAGTGGCACTGCACACTTAACAGGAGACCTGATGTCCCTCAGAAAACCTGACTGATGTTGCAGCTAATTCTAAAACCGAAGATTAGCCCAGCAAAGTCACAAAAAACTTCCCACTCTGGTAGTTGGAATGAGCTCAGCACATAATCTAAGGGCAGCCACAGCCCCAGACACAGAGGGAATGTAGACTTGAAAGGTGCAGGAGCAGTCTGCACCAATGGCACACTTGTGCATCATGAACAAGTGGCACCCATTATGTCCAATCGCTTAGGTTTGAGAAATAGCTGGATTCTCTCCCAGAAAGGACACCTCCTCTCCTTCCTCCTCCCCCTGCTTCCCAGATTTATGATTGAAAATTGTGTGTGAAAGGTTGGGGAAGGAGAGTTGAAGGGAGAAGAGGCACAGATTTGGGTGGAAGTGCAGAGCTAGAACAAACTCTCAAAGGAACACCGCCAAACTGCAGACTCGGACTAAAGCTGGCAGTAAGACAAACATCAAATGAACCTGTCCATCAAAGGGCCATCAGTAAAGTTGAAAAGGCTGCAGACCCCCCCCAGACACGCCCACATATACCTGCCCCATACACCTTGAGCTTGATCTAAAGCAATCTCACTGAACTGACCCAATAAAGCAAATACTGTGTTTCCTTCCTCTTTTTATCTCTCAGGCAATTCAGGGCACTGTTCCATACCCACCTGAAGCCATGGATGTCTTAAGGCTTCTTCTGTTGTAAAACGCTCCTTTGGATCCACTACCAACAACTTCTTGACAAGGTCCAGAGCTAGAATATTAAGACAATTTGGCATATCACCGTGCAAAGTAAATAAATTCCACTAGCTACATTAAAGTATGCCAGAAATCATCAGTCAACATGCAGAAAAAGAAGAGAAGGGCTAAGATCACCAGGAACTCAGCAGGTGTGGTGGGCAGGACCCTCTGATCTTTGCTTACTCATTCTCTGTACTCTTCAAAAGTGGCCTAAGAACATCAAGAATAATTATTATGCTCCCCATGTCTCCCACCACAGTTACAACCTCTTAACTCTGTTCGCTCTCCTTGTTGGACTCAATTTCAAACTAATTAAAGCTGAACTTCTACCCAGTTCTACAACATGCAAGGCACTCCATGTTTTGAACTCTCCCTAAAACCCATGGATTGAAGTAAGTTTAGTTCCTCAGTCACGGAGAGGATCTTTGGAAATAATAGGCTTCCTGGAAATAAAGCTGGACAGTCAGCAAGAGGTGGCTTGAGTACTGCAACCTTCCTCCTTTCATTTATGCAATAATCTGGACATTTAATACAATAATCTATGCTACATTGTATAACATTCAATTTTAGTGTCCGATTTTTTTTTCTTTTGAGATTTACAAAGTTGCACTTTTAAATTCTAAATCAAAGTGACTACTAACATGTAGTTCTTATTGTATGTTTACTTACTCAAAGGAAACCTTGTTACTAAACAGTCAATTTACTATTTTGCTTTAAACAGGTACCAGGCACTTGACTATGTCACAGTTAACCTTCACAAAAACCCTTAAAAGTAGGGGTTACTGTGCCCCTTTCACAAAAAAGAGGAAAAAATGGAGACACAGAGAGGTTAAGCAACTTTTCTAAGGTCACAGGGCAAAGAAATACCAGAACCCAGAACTTTAACTTCTTTCTGCCTGGCTTTGGGAGTCAGTGCTCTTAACCTCCTTTGTCTCACAAATGGTGCAAAATTAACAGAAAAGAATAGAACTGACAAGAGAAAACAATCACAGGATTTAAAAAGAAACTCCCACCAAAGTACACATGCAGACTTTAACAAACCAAATTCTTAATCCTTATGTAACCATACCCTGCTCTGAGACCTCTGCCCAGATTTTGGGAATGAAGTTGTATTTTCCACTGGTGATCTGATCCTTCAGTGACATCTGATTCTTAGCATCAGAGAAAGGTGGATACCCACTCAGGCTTAATATTGGGAGAGAGAGAAAAATAAATTAAGTGCCATTTTCACTGGCATTCAGATACACAGATTTCTTTTTCAGCCTTAGATTAAATTTTTCTTTAAATAATGGTTTTAAAAAAATAAAGACCTAAATTATACATAAGCTCTCTACCTGGACACATTTCTGATTTCAATGAATTACCTCCAACCAGACTCAAGCAAACTTTTCTTACCAAATAAAAAGAATAACTCCCAAACTCCAGCAGTCTACAGCACGGTTATAACCAGCAGTCTCAAAGGAAACAAGAACCTCCGGAGCTAAGTAGGTAGGGGTTCCACATAGGGTTTTCATGAGAGAGGTCTCCCCCAAAATCTTGGACTGTCCAAAATCAGTGATCTAGAATTAAGGACAAAAGGTAGTCGTTTTTAAGGATCACAAAAAAGATTAACATAGTCCAAAGGTTCCAAAAGACATGCCTGATAGACCAGCTTCTATCCCACAGTTCTTACCTGCTGTTAATCTGGAATCTACAAATTCATATTTAATAGTTGTAAACTATACAAGTTACTTTGTTTAAATACCAGATCCAAGGAATCTCCAGACCTACGTTTTCCAAGTTGTCTAAGATTTTTAATCTTCTAAAAGGTTACAAAAAGGCTTATGAGGATAACTGTGAACACTTGATCTAGGATTCTAGCTGGAGATGTATGATTCTTCTTAGGTGTGGCTTCTCAACCTTGCCTGCACTGTAGAATACCTAAGGAAGCTGAGAAAAATATTTTTGCCTGGGTACCAACTTCAAATATTCTGAGGTGAAACTTGGGTGTCACAATTTTTTTTTTTTCCATCAATAGGGGATGAGATTGAAATGTGAAGCCAAGCTGAGGAAGCAGAATTTTAGATAGAGGGAAAGAGGAAGACAGTGAATTTGATTCATTCATTTATCTGACCCTTTCCTCTTTTCCTCTGAATATAAGTGGCTTGTACACAGTGCAACTCAATAAATACTCATTAGAATCTGGATTAGAGCCATCCCACCAGACCACTACAAAAATTTTTAAAAATTTAATAGTTCTCAACTTTTTAATGCTCCCACTTTTTATTTGATTCATTTTAAAAGTTCCTGAACAAAAAATCTACTGGAGTGGCCACATACAAAACATAAATTTATCACCTTTACCAGGCATTCCTCTTTTTGAGATGAGAGTAGAACATTCTCTGGTTTTAGGTCTCGATGAATAATGCCATTTTCATGAAGGTACTATATAAAAAGGATGGAATGGACCTTAGATTTATGTATTAAGTACATGTACAGAAACAACCTAGACAGGCAGACATGACAGACAAACACAGATCTCTTACAGCTGAGTAAAATGGGTAAAAGGATTAGTGTTTACAAATTTAAGAAAATCTCTGAAAAAGTAGAAAAGGAAAAAGGCAATATATAACAGTAGACCTTTTATTTCATGTTGTTATTGTTTTATTCATACAAGAACTGGAGTGTAAGCCAGAGGAGCAAGAGGGTGCCAGGATTCACCAGAGACAGAGTGGAGAACAGAACAGGCTGACTGACTCAAATACACTGCTGAGGGGAGGATGGGTGAGACAGGAGAGGTCTGCTGTGTCATGAGGATCAGCTACCTGTCCGGGATGAATTCATGCCACAGAGGCTGTGGATTGATATACAGTGCTGAGTCTTAATCTCTTATACCACCAGAGAGGCCCTACTTCATGTTTTAAAATAACAAAAATATCACATTGGCAGAAATAAGCCCATTTCAGTAATAAAAATATAAATGAGTAATATAAAATTTGGGGGGATCATTTAAAGTAAACCACAAAAATTCCACCAAAATGATTTATGTGGTTTTTCTAATGATGAGAGTAATTATTTTTTAAGGAAGTCTATAAAATACATATTTGTAAAATTACTATTTAAATACCTGACATATTCCTAGATGTAAAGATTTAATCTTCAAAAACTTTATGGTTTGGAATAGAATGCTAATGTCTCTTTGTACTGTAATTATTATATACTTAGCCATTTCTCCAGAGAAAAAAATTACCCAGTTGGCCTCTCTGGTGGCAGAAGGGGTTAATTCTCACACTATGAATTTATCTGCAGCCACTGCAGCACAAGTTCCATCTCCAGACAGGGAGGTGACCCACATGGTGCAGCAGCCCTCTCCTGTATTTCAGTCAATCTGCCTTCTCTGCTCCCCACTCTGTCTCTGGTGAATTGATGAACCCTCTTTCCTCTCTCCCCCCACAGCTCTGACCTGTACCCCAGCTCTTGTATATATAAATAAATCTTAGAAAAAAAAAATTTCCCCTATGTTCAATGATCTGCACTCATTTCAACTTAATATTCTGGGCATAAGGGAGGGAAATAAACTATTAAGAGAGTAAAGCACTAGTTAGGTGTTTATGGGTTTCAATTTCTTCTGGCTGTTCCTCTGGCCTGGAACAGAAATTCCTCTAATACACTTTCACTGAGAAAGGGACCTATAGTGGGCAAACCCAGGTGGATCAACCCCAGGAAAATCCCCTCAATCCTCACTTAATAAAAGAGACATTTCCAATCCTGTGTTTTTTGCTTGGAGTAGGTTTTCAAAGGAAGAAATCTTGGCATAGGGTTGCCACAACCAAATTTGGTTTGAGAAACAGTTATGGTCTGTTCTTCCACCAACACTTTCACCAACAGCGAGAAGGCAATGTCCACGCCCGTCTACTATAGGCTGCTGTTTGGGGAACAACCTGTCTGTCACCACCACCCCAACTTGCCATAGCCAGCCTGACCCCCATATCTGTCCACTCTCACCCGGAGAAGTAAAGGGGATTTCTACAAGAATTGTAGAGATGAGGGACCAAAGATCCTCCAGAAATACTTTCAGGCTAAAGAGAAGACACCAAGGACCTTATGTTTATCTCTTTAACTCTCCTTACTCTCTTAAACTGCATGGCAAGAACTTGCTAATCAGAGATGTTTTTGCCAAGAACAGAAAACACAGAGGGCTTCTCTTACCTGTACGGCCAGGAGCATCTGGTAAAAATAAAGTTTGCACGTAGCTTCCTTAAGGCGTTTATTCACCACCCTGTCAAACAGCTCCCCTCCTTCCATCCTAAGACACACACAAAGCAGGGAGCTCACTCTTAGGAGAGGTCTCATTTGGCTGAATAGCACAAACTAAACAAACTTATTAAGACAGCCAATGAATGCTGTTTTGATTCACTCTTGAATACTGTTTTTCAAGGCAATGAGTCAATACACATCTCCTCCACAAGGAAGAGGTCCCTGTTGGAATCTAAAGAACAAGAAAAAGTAGGAGTATGCAGAGGCTGGGAGGCACTTGGGGAATTTTTAAAAATGAGATTTAGAACATGCCCATGAGTTAAATTAATTAAAATTTGCTACACTGATAATCAATTTAGTTTTGTTTAAGAGAACTATTTCATATGCTCCATTGTATTTATTATACAAAGACAAAAAGTTTGCAAAAATTAAATTCAGTAGATGAGAAGCAGGGCCCAGGAATGTGCATTTTTGTATGGAGCCCCAGATGATTCTGAAGCTGGTGCAGAGGAACAAAAAAAAAAAAAGGTAAACTGGGTTTGAACCCTGTTCCACCACTTCCCATCTGTGGGATATTAGACAAGTATTTTAAACTCTTTCTGAGCTTAGCTCTACATCTTACATGGTGGTTGTAAAAATTAAGAGACCTCCAACATAGTATAGCACCAAGCACAGTGTAGATATTTAACAAGGTTATTCAACTGTGTTGCTCATTATTTTCCTTTTCTGTAAAGTGGGGTGAAAAATCAAGCAACTTGCTAGTAACTTCAGAGAAATCTGTATGACTAGTGTGAAAAGTTACATGAGTCAATCATGTGAACTACTTAGAGCAGCAGTTAGCTTTCATAAGAGGTAATTAGTACCAGTGACAATTTTTGTATTATCAAACTGTTAACCATCAGATAACAATCTCCTATTCAGTAGCAACAGATATTTCCTTAACTAATACAAGGAGCTTTCAGCCTTTCCTAGAGCTATGATCAACCTACACAGCTACCATGTGCCACCTCCACAGGAAGCCTCGCTGAGTGCCACACAGCCGCTCCCAGATACTACACAGTGACGACCGAATAGAACGTCAACACAGGCTTCTTCAAGGAAATTATTTTGGTCATACCAATGAACACAGGACTTTATGACTATTGAAGTAAAGCAGCAAGCCACTGCAAAGTACCCAAGTGTCACCATGCAACCTGGTAGTGTGCTCACCAGCAGAAAGGGAGATACTTCAGAGTAGTCAGACCTACCCGTGGTCATGGTCGAGCAGCTCTGGGCTTTGCTAGGGGCTTTCCAATCCTCGTATCATTTAACCCTTAAGACTCTGCATGGGGCATCATTATTATTCCCATTTAGGAAAAATGAGACTCAGAAGTAAACTAACCCATGAGCAGAGTGGGAATCAAACCCAGATCTCAGATCCAGAGTCTGGCACCTCTGAGCCACCTACCTTTGGTAACACTGGGGAGGCTTTAGAATTGACACTAAGCCCCCCCACACACACTTTGTGTATCTCCATAGCACACACAGATGGAGGATGAGAAATGCAAGCCAGCATTAGACTCTGGCAATTTTAGAAGTGTTTAAATGGAAACAAAAGTTTGCTACTTACAGTTCCAAAACAATGTAATAATCTTTGGCATCAAAAACATCTTTAATCTTGATGATACAAGGCTAAAAGAAGGGAAAAAAAGGAAAAGTAATATGAAGTTCCCAAGAAGAAAACCACAAGAGCAGGACTGAGCAACATGTGCCCAGAGAGTCAGGGAAGCCAAGACCAAGTACTTGGCACCCTGCCCCAGGACACTTTGAAGTTCTCGAAGGGCAAAGGCAAAACAGAATGTTGCTGGTGCCTCAGGAAGAATATGGAAGAAAGACCCAACCACATCAGGGAGGGGCTGGTCTATGTTCACATATAAGATATAACAAGAAGAGTAAGGTCATGTCCCTTCCCTGTCTTCCTCCTCTCTGACCTAAGCATGGGTACTCAGGACCCCTGAGGGACCTTACAATTGACAGGAATAAATAAAAGGGGCTGGACAGGGAGCCCAATGATGCCACCAGACAGCGAGGCTATTCAGTTCGAAGACACTGGAAACACAAGGAACTAGGGACCCCATATGACAAGATCCTCCCTTTTTTCCCAAGGAAAGAGGGAATTTCAAATTTTATAAGAACTCTAAAGCACAGCAGTGGGGTAGGAAAGTGAGACACACACACACACACACACATGACTGATAGTTGTGATTTCTGGTCAATGTAGGCTATACAGGACATTGAAAATCAAAGTCAAGCAATATTGTAGAATTTAAAATGTATATGTAATATTACCTAAAAATACCTATTGTTTTCAGAACACAAAGGACAGACAATAAAACTCAACGGTAGAAGTAAATGATGTGGTGAGTATCCCATCCAGGACACACGCACCCCAGAAGAGAGGATTGTGGTTACTTAACAGAATTAAAGGGAAGAGCAATAAAGACCTTCAGATTTTAGACTGAAAAGAGTAATAAGATAAGCCAGAGTGATATTCCTATAAAGCAAACTTCACCACTACTATCAATCCAATTAAAATCCTCCAAGTGGTTCCTCCCTGTACCATGTAGCAGTGAGGTGAACAATGCCCACTGCTTTCCCCAGCTGGATGGATGTGAACACAATGCCAAGAGGAAAAGGCGTCACGAAAGACTGCAAAGCTGAAGAGATTCAACTGTATGGGTCAAGTCTTCATTCTTTAGTTAGAGGTGAGTTCAAAGGTATTCATTGTATTGGTTCACTTTAGAATTTATACACTTGTATCCTTACATATGCCAAATAGCATGTGATTTTTAAAAATGTAAAGACAGAAGGAGAGAAAAGGCAGGACGTAAGGAGCCCAAGAAAAAGCCTTTAACACCTTATAGAGTAGAAGTTAAAATCCCACTTTATTGTAGGGATTAGCAATCTTTCACAACTTAACCTCATCCTGTCACCACCCACATCCCAGCTTCCTCTCCTACTCACTCCCATGCATCTTTCTTTCAAGACCACAAAACTCCCCACCCATGGAGGATCACTAGTGTCAAGAGTTTGTTCACAGCTTTTCTCCTGCTCTGGTGATGCGGCACTCTGGGCCTCTCAGCCTAGACATCAAGCCCTAGCTCAATGTCCCTATTGAAATACACCCATTCTCCTGCGGAGGTTCTAATCTTGCCACCTGACACTGCATCTTCAGTTACCTGTCTTTTTGCCAGCTGTGAGCTCCAGAGGGCAGAGAAAGAATACTATTCACATGAGTCTTCTCTCACCAGGTACAGCAAGGACTACCAAGTCTACTTATCTTTCTAGGACCAACACCCAGCCTAGTGACTGACATGTGTGCATCCTACTTGAATATCAATAGTAGCAACACACCTCCATGAAGGTAGACTCCGACAGCCACATTTTGGTCATAGCACATGAGCCACAACAGTGATGCTGATAGCAAAGCAGTTCTGCTGCTCATTCTCCACACCTATGATCATAGCACATTGGCTCTGCAATGTGGTTACTGTCACAATAATGAAAATGCCAAGTATGCACTGAGCTTCATATAAGAAGAGGAAGTGGGGCCTCCTTCATCAGGGAGGGGTTAAGTCTCAGCACAGTGAAGCTATCTGCAGCCACTGCAGAACGAGTTTGAGCCCCAGGGAGCTGACCCACATGGCACAGATGTCTCCTGTCTAACCCACTGCTCCCCTCAGCAGTGTATTCCAGTCAATCCACCTATTCTGCTCCCCACTCTGTCTCTGGCGAATCCTCTCACCCCCCACACCTCTGATCTCAAACATCAAAACACACTCATGAGTCCATACTTAATACACTTGGGGTTCTACAGGCCCTTGTCAATTGCCAAAAATATTTTTAGGGACCTTATTTGGATTTTACATTCTTCTTGATTCTACTGACCACTGGATTTGTGTAAATGTTATGTTGGGGACTCTGACATCAGAGAAAATTCCCTAAGGATTCAATACATTAATCTTGGCAATATGATTAAAATATCCACACCCCAGAAAATAAAGGTTCCAAATGAAGAGATTCCAGATCCTTTGAAAAAATGAAACAAGAGAACTGTTGCATTATTGTGCCTATGGCAGTTATTTTATTGTTACTTTCTACTTGTTGTTTGGAGGACTTTGCAGGAGGGTGGAAGGGTATAATAAGAGAAGAAAAAAGTTGACTTTTTATTGTTTGGAAGCTAAGAACCAAAATAAGATAATCCTTACTGGAAAGACTATGTCTTATTTCAAGTTTAACTCCAGTGCTTACCCAACTGAGACAAGCTCATCCTTGTATCAAAAAGGTAAGAATATTGCCAAACAATGAGATAACTGACAGCCTTTAATCAGATTTAAGGACAAAGTCCTGCCATATCCTTGAATTTACTTGACTTACTTCAAATGAGGTAAATAGAAATCAGTACCATCTAAACGTATTTTGAGTTGTTAAAACTACAGGTATAATTAAGCCAAATTTACCAAACTAGCAATGTTTTCCAAACATAATCAGTTGATCAAGACTATGAAATATAATATTTAGGAGACTTACTATGTATTTGGCAAGAACTACTTCAATGCAAATACCACATGATAATTTAACTATAAATCTTAGTACAGTTTTGTCCTCAAATTTCAGGGTAAAACTCTTCCCAGTTAAATGACAGTTAAACACGTGCAGGTGTACACACATACATATATAGGCATGCACACACACATGATTAAGGAACACAGGTTTATCTAACTTCATTATATTGAAATGCTGTGAATTTAAATATGGGTCATTTTATAACAATACTTACGTGATTTAACTTTTTCAAAATTTCTATTTCTGTTTCAACATTGAGAGCTGGATCCTTTGATAAATAAAATTACATTAGGATATAATAATAATAATATTCAACATTCAGAAAATATTTATCATTATACTTGAATAAAGGCTGCCATAACCAGAGACATCAGTGTCTAGAAGTTGATGAATTAAGGAGTTCACCTAAAATCACTCTGCAAAATGTCTGGCAAGTAGGAGATATTCAATAAATAACCAGCCCGAGTGTCAATTTCTTTATTTAAAGCAGTCACCTCAAGGGCCTCCTTGGTGGCACAAGGGTTTAAAGAGTAGCACCATGAAGTTATCTGCAGCCACCGCACCATGAGTTTAATCCCTAGCCAGATTGGTGATCCACATGGCACAGCATACTGCTCCTGTCTCTCTCCTTACTCCCCTCAGCAGTGTATTTCAGTTGATCCGCCTGTTCTCTTCCCACTCTGTCTCTGGTGAATCCTCACCCCCTGTACTTCTGTCCTGCACCCCAACTCTTGTATGTATACCTAAATAAATAAATAAATTTATTTATCAACCTCATACCCCCACTTTACAGATGAGGCAACTGAGGTTCAGAAAAATGGAAGTCACTTGCTCCAGTTTCCACAACCAGAAAATGTTTCTACTGATACCATTGATTATCTGGTAAGCTCTGCTTATCTCATTAGCTATGGAATTACTTACATTCGTAAGAAATGATAAAACAAAAACTGTAGACCAGAAGGTATTCAATTAACTGAATGAAGAAGATGTCAAGGCAAATTTCTAATAGAGCAAACACAGGTTCCAATTTCAACCACAGGCTGACATGTTTACTGTGATTCTGACAAGAAGAAACTGCTAGATACTGAAAATTGTTCTCTTTTACAATTCCAAAAGGATGAATCAAGTAACTCAACCTCACATGCTACACCCTCCACAAGCAAAGAGGATACAGAATTACAGATTTATGTAATATCGACTTAAGTTAGCAACCCATATGTTTAATTTTAAAAGCCCTCTTCTTCCTGTAAGCCATTAAACTCATTACCAAGTCAGGGTGTACTATGATGACAGGTCTAAAGAATCTAATATGATTTGAAAGATGAAATTAAGAAGTAAATTTCACTCCAAGCTATTAAGAATCTGGTAGATCCTTTCTTCTCCCAAAGGGAAACAAATCTAGAGTCACAGGGGGGAAAAAGGCTCTAACAAAGTGAACACAAAAAGGAAATTCCTTTTGCCATGTGAGAAAATGGCCTTATCTTGAGGGGAAAATATTGATCTTTAAAAATGTTTAAGTATAATAGCCAGAAACAGCTGGCTGCAAAGAAAAATATGATTAAGGGCCATGATTTGCATTACTTTGTTGGATCACATGTAGAAAAACCAAAGCATCTGGACATTTCCCCTAAGTAGTAAAAGTGTATTACGGAAAATGCAATAAAATGAATGGCTACTATATAAAAACTATTAAAATAATTTAATTAAGATTTTTTTTAAATACCCAAAACATAAGCTATTAAAAAAGCCACATCACCAGGAAGAACAAAAAATTAGAAATTATCTAAATGATCAGCAGGAGAAATGGCTGAGCTTACTATAATACAGTTGATGAACAAAGACTTGATCATCAAAAAGAATATACTGAGGTTAAGTTGATGCATTAATGCTGATGTGGAAAAACAGAACACAAAATTGCATATACAATATGATTTCAACCATTTGAAAACATGAATTCATATGCGCAAAGACTAAAAAAGAGAAGAAAACTAAAAACAGCTGTGGAGTTATAGTGGTGGGATTACAGCTGGAATTTTTTCCCTGAGTTTCTTTCATTTATCATAAAAACAATCTTGCAACAAGTTGGAAGTGGGGGGGGGTCCCACTATACACACTATTAAAGGCAACCAAATATTTTGCAATAAAATGATCTACAAGTACATTCCTAAGTAACTTGAAGATGCTGAAAGATTTTCTATGTTCTTTGATACTCACAATTTCATGTAATCTCAGCAGGAAATTCTTCCAAACATTAATAATTGCTACCTAAAATCATTTTGGGAAGTTAAGAAATGTGAAGAACAGCTGAGCAGCCACAAATGCAGGTACTTACTACCTCTCTCTCAGAGCCAGCAAACTTCTTTTTGTTAATGATCTTTATGGCTACTTTTTTACATGTTTTCCTCTCAAAAGCTAGCTTCACCTCTCCACAGGCACCACTGTGGGGAAAACAGATAATGATTGGCAGGATGTTTTTAGTCATGATATCCACCACTCCCGAGTCTGCCCATGATATCCACCACTCCCGAGTCTGCCCAATTTAACTACAAGTTAAAGAGGATCCATGCACAGCCCTTCCATTGTCTCCTTCAGTTTGCCTATTTTGAATATTTTGTATCAGTGGAATCATATAATAGGTGGTCATTTATGTTTAGCTTCTTTCACCTGATAGGTTTTTCAAGCATGTAGCATATTTCATATTGTTACAAAACAGAGTGAAACCTTATCAATATCAAATGTCAAGGGCACAAGTGGATGTGCACCAGCCAACAATCTGAATCAGCTACAAATTCTACTATCAGAGCAGAACAATACAGACTTAATTTATTATCATCCCAGATACAATTTTTAGAAAGACAGAATAGGAGAACAAATAAGAAAGAAATGAAAAACAGCAAACAGAATTACGTTGCTGTTAAAAATGAGTAACTGAAAAGTTAGTTAACAAAATCGGCAAATGAGTTGCTTTCCTTGATACATTCCTTTCTTTTCTTATTCTCTATCTTTAATGTATATCTCTAATATACAGTTGATGCACTCTAAATAAAATTGTAATACCTAAGAAACTAAAAGTAATACACAATTTAACCTGCTTGCAGCAAGCTCTCAAGGATTTACAATGCACTAGAATACTATACTAAAGGAGGAATGCTACCCAGGCAGCCATCCAGTGCTGTCACCTGTACATGGGCCCTGTTCTCCAAAGTCTGGGTCAACCCCAGGTAACAGCTACTGGTTCATTAACTACCTGAAGTCAACTGTACATGACTACTGTGGGCTTTGGACATGAGACGATGGGTTTGCCAAAACATCTTTGTTACTGCATATTGTGTATATCCATGTATAGTATAAATGTACCATTGCATCACACTATAGTGTATAATTCAGTGGCTTTAAGTATATCCACAATATTGTATAACCACTAACTCATATTTAGAATCTTTTCATCAGCCCAAATTAGAACCCCATATTAATTAAGCATCTACTCTCCATTCTACCCTCCTCCTAACCCTGGCAACCTCTAATCTGCTTTCTGTCTCTATCGATTTGCCTATTTTGAATATTTTATTTCAGTGGAATCATTACTAGGTGGTCATTTTGTGTTTGGCTTCTTTTACCTGATAGGTTTTTCAAGCATGTAGCATATTTCATTCTTGTGTACAGCTAAGTAACAGCATAGATATAGCACTTTTTGTTTACCAATTATTTGGAAATAACATAGGTTATTTCCAACTTGTATCTACAGTGACTAGAATAGCAATGAACATTCACACACACATTTTTGTTTGAACATTTAATTTCACTTTTAGAGAGTAGAAACCTACTAGCAGGGGACCTGCAGGACCATGTGGTAATTCTGTTTAACTTTTGAAAAAACACCAAACTGTCTTCCACTGTAGCTGTACATTTTACATTCCTACCAACAGTGGATGGGGACTCCAATTTCTTTATATCGTCAACAAATCATTTTATTTTCCAATTCATTTTATTTTCCAATTCTTAGTTATGGCCCTCCTAGTCTATGGTAGCAGGTATGAAGTGGAATCTCGTTATTTGCATTTGCATTTCACTAGTGACTAGATACTGAGCATCTTCTTGTATGGTTTTAATCATTTGTGTATCTCCTTTGAAAAAATATCTATTCAAATCCTTTGCTAATTTTTATTTTTATGTATTGAGGAATAACTGACATATACCATTACACTGAATCACGAATATAATATAAACAATAAAGTTTAGTTCGCATCCATTCACCCACTTTAGTTTGTTTGTCTCATCCCTGGAATGATATGCTAACGTTCTCTTATCTGTGGTTTCTAGGCAAAAGAATACAACTCTTTGGCTCAAGGTAACCATTTTCCTGCTACAAAGAGAGCAATTTCTAGAGGACAACCGACAGTGCTGAATCAAAAGATGAAGCCAGAGGGAGCTCTTAGGCTGAGTCACAGATAACAGAATTCAAAGGGTGAAATAAAGCCCTAAAGTCCCTAGACTGAACCATGTCTGAAGTTAGTTCTTCTCCTATGTTCCCCGTTTTTTTCCCCTTACACATTTGAGTTTAGTTTCTATCACCTGCTAATAGATTTGTGTGGACCCCTCCTTTACAAAAAAAAGTAGAATTAAATGCTACTTTTTTTACAGAAATAAGAGAACATTAGCACTTAATTCCATACATTTCTTAAAAAAGCGTATATTTGGCTGTGAATTTCGAAGCAATCAATGCAAATGTGGAAACATAATGAGTTAATAAGTTTAATATCCATAAATTAATCCCCTTAGATGGTCACAAAAAGTACATTGTACTTGATTTTATGAGCAAGAATAAGGCTAATTATTTCCTGCTATATGTTTCCTACTTTCAAGTTTCCAAAAACACAAGTTAAGTACAAAGGCCTTTGGGAGATGGAGGAGATGAAGGGGACAATGAAGCAAAAGCGTGGTTAAGACTGTTACAAAACTTTCCCGATGAAGGTGGTTTTCTCAAGGTCTGATCAGGTAACCATAAAGGACTCTAAGAGCCACAAAATCAATACTATTTTCAGGACAGCAAGACACTGTTTGCCCTTTCCATTCTTTCTCTCAGAAGAATGAGAAGAGGCTACAAGGCATGTGATATTACAACAGACTAAATGAAAAGGCAAGTGTCAAGATATAGTCATCTTCTAGTAATCAGATATCAAAAAATATAAAACAATACCTCTTCTTCCCACTATCATTTACAATTTTTTTCATTAAAAATATTTAACAAAGTGAATTTGTATTTAATGAGTTAACATCAGTAAACATCTTCATCTTAATTTCTAAAGCCTTACACATTAAGTTTTAAAACACATTAAAAAAAACTCTCGGGCCCTCCTTGGTGTTGCAGCAGGTTAAAGCACAGCACTAAGAAGCTAAAGCCACTTCATCATGAATTTGATCCCTGCCCCAGAGGTGACCCACATGGCGTGGCAGACCTCTCCTGACCCGCCCGCTGCTCCCCTCAGCAGATCTGCCTGTTCTGCTCCCCACTCTGTGGTGAATCCTCTCACTGACCCTGTACCTCTAGCCTGTACCCCAGTTCTGTATGCATAAATAAAAAAATCTTTAAAAAAAAACCCTCTCTAGTAACCCTCCCTGGTAGTGCAGTGGGTTAAAGCATAGAAACAACCCTTTTATTTCCTGGATCATGGAGTGGACCAAACATGTCCAAGGTATTAGCTAATTGGTGCTAAATGGTCCAATCAACCACAAGACTGAAAAATGGTCGAATAGACCCATGGGTGGGGCACCATGAGAAAGGATATAAGCAGGGTTGGAGAGAGCTAAGAGAGACTATTTCAGCCTCCAAAGAAAATAGGGGAAGACTCTTGTTCCTGGCCTCAGAAGAAAGAAACAGAAACTGAAAGAAGAAAGAAGGAAAAAAGCTTTCTTCCTACAGAGAGATTGGGCCTTCTGTTCTGTCTCTGACACTGCCTGAAAAAAGCAGGAAAGGCTTGGTGTCTCAAAGAACTATTTGTTGTTGGCAAAGTCCAACAACTCACAAAAAGCAGTTATCACTTGGTGTCTCTGACAATACCTCTGGGGGACCAGTGGTGACTATCACTACTAGCCAGTGTGGTCTAGCTCAGGTGATAGACAGGTGACCCGTACTTCTGATGGACACTATGTGGATGAGACAGCCAGTCACTTGTGACAATAATAAGCTCTTTGTTTCCCCTATTTGTAAAATAAACCCCATGGTGGTTGTTCCTGGAGCCTGAGGTGTCTTGCAATTGTGCATGTGGGTGAGAACACAGACAAGTGACCTGTCCTTTTATCGAGCACTGTCCTTGATGAGCTGTAGCTTATAGCCCCCTTTTATATGGTGTTGCATTGCTATAGCCCTTGGTTTCAGTTTTTGGCTTTGAGGC